GTTTCTAACTTCGCGAAGGTTCCCTCCGATCGCTCGCCCGAGAAATAGCGGCGGCGGCTCCGGTGGGCGCTGTGGTTTGGGAAACGTGTGGGCGCCATGAACCTGCGGGGAAAGTGGGCAAAGGTGGGGTTTGGAAGAGAGGGACCATCTTTTTGTTCTGGGAAACGGGCGACGTGGAAAACTACTGACTTTTCCTGTTTCAATTACTTGGAGAATTGCTTTTATTATTTTAAATCTGTGTGTGGCAGAGACAGAGAGAGAGAGAGAGAGAGAGAGAGAGAGAGAGAGGGAGTTAAGAAACACGGGACAACTCAGAAGCTCTCATAAATAAACATAACTTCTTGTGCAGGTCCCCAGAATTACCATTAAGAAAAAAAAAAAGCCAGAAGAGAAAGGAGGAGGCGGGACAGGAAGTGGACAGGAGGGGAGACGGACAGCAAGGGGCCACAGCATCGATGGCTCATTGATGTTAAAGGCACAGCAAAGCCCGGCCGGCGTGGCTCAGTGGTTGAGCATCGACCCATGAACCAGGAGGTCAGGGTTCGATTCCCGGTCAGGGCACATGCCCGGGTTGCAGGCTCCATCCCCAGTGTGGGGCGTGCAGGAGGCAGCTGGTCCATGATTCTCTCTCATCATCGACGCTTCTCTCTCTCCCTCTCCCTTCATCTCCGAAATAAATAACAATATATTTTAATAAATGCACAGGGAAGATCTTTGAAAGATACCACAGGTGGTTTTGCACAAATGAAAAGAAAGGGACTCTTTCAATTTTTTAAAAATATATTTTTATTGATTTCAGAGAGGAAGGGAGAGGGAGCAGGAGAGAGAAACATCCATGATGAGAGAGAATCATGGATCGGCCGCCTCCTGCACACCCCCCACTGGGATCGAGTCTGCAACCCGGGCCTGTGCCCTTGACCGGAATCGAACTCGGGACCTTTCAGTCCTCAGGCCGATGCTCTATCCACTGAGCCACACCAGCCAGGGCAAGAAGAGGACTTTGAAAGCCATCGGACCCAAGTCCACCGTCCTTTCGTTTCTGGGAAAACATGCTCCTGAGATTTGGGCTAAAAAAAAAAAAAAAAAGCCGGAGTCTGTGCAGCGTTTGGGCAGCCGCACGGCCTCCCTCAATTCCCGGCCCCACCAATGCCGCCTGACACCTGCCTCCCGCCCCCGGCGGCCGCAGGGCCCTGAGAAACACATTACGTCTCATGTCAGCCATAAAAATAACAGCACGGATTCTAACCCAAACACAATTACCCGGTAATTATCATTTAGACGTCCGCTCGAATCCTTCTCAGAGCCGCCCTCGCCTCCCTCCGCCCCCCCAGGGCCAGACGGTTTAATACCCGCGGCCCGGCCAGGCGGGCTGGAGGGTCTGCTAAACCT